CTTTTCTTTGTGACTGATATGAATTTCAGACCTTCCAATTTAATTTGTGAAAGTTAAATTCGAAACAGCCATTATTTATAGCCTTATTTTGGATTTGATGGGTGACGTCTACTGCGAATGTGTTAATTGATAAAAATGTAAAAATCGCTTGTATGTGAGATGGAAATGACATATTTCTCCAGTTTTCACGACCTGTTGTCACTTTGGGAGAAACAAAAAGCACTCCAAGAATGTCATTGTCAAGATGGAAAGCTTATCAAGCATTAGGGACTCTTTAATCCACTTTAGACGTGCTGTTTAGAATAAATAGGCCCACATGGGTATTTACGTACAGTAAGGGGTTCAGTTTTTTCCTGTCTAATCTGACATAATTTTGTAAGTTTAGAAAACAGTCTTCAATTTCCAAGGGTATTTAAAGAAAATGCAAATAACCTACCAAATAAACAGTACATTTTTAAAAACCATTTCAATGACAAGTTCCACGGGGCGGGTGTAACAGGTACACAGGAAAAATGTCACCATATAGAGGGATCCCAGTACGACGCTTTTAGCGTCGATCTGCGCAATTCTGCGTTTCAAAACGAGGCTGTATGTGTCAGCTTCAATTCTTAATACGATCACATGAGTGAAAGTAAGGAGTCAAGAAACGAAATGGTATGTTAAATTCAGACTTTTCAGGCTGCAAATTCTTGTGCAAGAGTCTTTCAGGATGACTTGACACGTAAAATCAAAAGAAAAAATAACGGCAATTTACCGCGAACTAACGTACCTTCGATGGTCGCGTATCTACATGTGCAGTGGGCGTGGTTTAAACTGAAGTGGCGTCACACTTTCAAACCGGATACTGCATGTACTGTGTGAACTACGTGGGCGGGCGCGAGTAACTTCAACACAGAGAGCTTCGGTTTTGATGCGGATATGCAAAGGCAGAGCTAATGTGAAATCCCTTTACATATTGCCCATTGTAGAATGATAGACATGGCATCTCCCCACGTTCATAACGTTATCGATGCCTCTATTGCCCCGGAAGAAATCTTCATTTAGGGGGCCTACCCTATCGGCTTAAAATGACCAAATGAAATTCTATATTGACCAGATTTCCAAAGTGCACAATAACACTCTCATGTGCCCTAAAAACTAGAAAACCGTTTTCTTACAAGTTTGATTTGAGTAGTGTTAGTGTAGGCAATAATGACTAATTGTTATCAGTTCTAAGAAATGTCAACGTTAATCCGAGATTTTCTGCAATTTATTCAATTGAACCACCTTTCGGAACAATACAGAAATGATGTCATCTGAAAAAAAAAATCGCCCGACTATGGGGCCCATAGGGACTCCTTAAAATTACGCAGTAGCAAAATTCCAGTCGATCAAGTAAGTTTAGCAGGCTTTGGACATCGTAAAACCTTTTTCTTTCCGACGTGCAGCCCTACGGCCACGCGCCCGTTGACCAGAATTTTTTTGGCCTAAAGAGCTTTTTATGTAGTATAAATTTTGTTTACTGAAACTGACTGCTTTTAATTTGGAGTCTCAGAAGAAAACTTTGAGAGTTTGTGGCAAATGTAATGTGGCATTTTAGAACTGGTTACCAAGCATCAGATTTAATTTGCTAACTGTAGCTATCAATAAAAAGGTCATCTGATCGATATTACTCGCTCAATAGATAAAGCTGTAGGCCAGGCTAGTCTGGCGTGGTGCGACCTCGACAGCCAATGAGCGAGGCCAAACCACGCGCACAGTGCGTAACGGGACCGTTTTGTTAGCTTTGTTACACAGTAATGGAGCTATTCGTGTAATCGACGACGAAACACAGATTTGGACTTAATAATGAATATCCAGCTCCATACGGTCACATAACGCTTTGGAGACTGCAAATTATAAACCACATTACACTTGGACTTTAAACTTCTAACCATGCGTAATCTGTATACCATTGCAGTATAAAACATCAATGTAATTGCGCATGAGTTTAGTACAGTTTGCAGTTTCATTGTTTTATTGTAAACTGACCAAGGCTTTGTTTTTTTTTCAGTGTTTAAATGCGTAGGCAAGATTGTCAAGTGCTTTTGAAATGTTGGCTCTTTTCTGGCCCATGTTTTCTGTCATCAGAGGCAACAATGAAAATCCTCTATATAAAAGCATGAAAAGCAACACAAAGCGACGGAAGGGACTTCGAGACTGTACCATCTAAAGTCCTTCCACTCTATTTCAGAGATCAAATAATTGATCGTTAAGAAAAGTCCAAATGTTTCAGTTTTCTAAATATTCCAAACCTGCAAAATGGGTAAAACACTTTTTCCATTGAAAAAATGTATGAAAGTATTTTGTACCGATTAAAAAATAAATATTTTTCCGAAATAGGTTGTAAACAAACTTTGTAGAATGTAGTACCGTACATTAAAAGAGTAAAACGATCATTCCCTTCTTGTCGCAATCACCATACTTCCAATAATTGTGATACTCAACCATTTTTAGAATGAGACACAGTTTATAAAAAGAACAAGGATGAAAAACGTTTTGGCAGGAAAGTGCTTTAAGATTTATTCATAAATAGGCCTACCTCAGACTGTCTCCCTATTCAACAAAATGCAATTTGACTGTATATTAACATTTTCATAATGCCTGCTGAGAAGTGATAATGTCCCCTGCGTAAATCACGTGTTGGCATCTGGGTACGAGACAGTTTAATCGATTCTGATTGGTCAAGAGTCTGTGTGCACGCAGCTCACCACGCACTCGCCAAGTCCGTATGAAAAGATTCTATTGGACAACTTGCACAAGGAATATACCATAAAATGGACGGGAGTATTTGGGAAAATGAAAGTAAAATTCTGAAACAAAATCGTTGTAAATCCATCATAGCTTTACTTCTTATAAATCTCTGACACACACAAGAAAGTATTTATAAACTGGAATGAATATGTGCAGCTCGGGCATTAGCTGCGTCCATTCCCCTGAGTCGGTCTTAAAAACGCACGTTTAAGACTGACCAAGAAAAAATTTATTACCTTATTTTTTAACCCGATCGAAATCAAGTTTATGTCTAATAACTAATAATCGTTTTATGCCAGGTATTTGCTTTTACTGGTGTATCTGTGTCGGGAGGTTTTATTTCATGAAGTCGGTTGAGGTATTTGATTTCAAATAGCCTTAATAGCTGAAATTTGAGATGAGATGAACTATTATATTAATGCTGTTATACTGCAGAGTTTAACTACACTGACTCTAATAGTTTCCTTGAGATAGGAAGCAAGTTAGAAGCAGTTGCAATCTACACAGCATCCTGCTAACCAACTTTCCGCCAATCTTCATCATGAAGACTTTCCTTCCAGCAACATGCTGCCATCTGCCCAGTTACAAACACGAATGAACGATGTAAATAAATATAGCGGTGGTATCAGAAATACTGTTTTTCTTTTTTCCGTAGCACATCTCATTATACGTGTACATGAAGTTACGTAGTTACAGCCGGCTGTACCTTAAGTCTCGCCAATACAAAGCGCAGGAAATACGAGTTGAAATCTGGTCGGCGAAATCATTCTACCTTTCCGTACACGACGACGCACGATAGAGAAAAGTCTACTTTGTTTCCTGGAGTTCGTTTCCAAACAAAAACTTGAAACTTTAAATAATACATCGGACCTTTTCTATCCAATTCCCAGCTTTGGCGCAAAAATGACCCTTAATAAGGGTCACAAAACAAAGCATGAAGATCAGACAGTCCAAGGGCTGTGCCAACTTCAGGTGTGTTGTAATTCTCAGCCATACATGGTAGTAGGTAAGCTCGAGCTTGGCATCTTTACGCGGGTTGGCTTATTCGCCAGTTGTTTCAGTTTGTACAGATCTGCCTCCGGTAAATAATCTACAGCATAATTATGGTTTAAATCATCCACAAAACGATGCCATCATTGGCGAGTTGACACCAACCTCTTTCAATAATTATACGTGGAAATGTGCTCCAATATCATGCTGCTCTAGCGACTACCAATGGGTTAATAGCCTAGGAAAGCTTCTCGGTTGTAATTTCACTCAATTGTATTCAATTCTCGGCGGTGACAACCCAGGCAACAGATTATATGTGAAAAATAACAATTACAACAATGCAAATGTGATTTATAAAGTCTCAAACCAATTAAGGCATCCACAGTTTAATACCAAATGCCCCAGTTGAACTTGAAAGCCCATTGGAGAAGAGAAAATCACATTGTAATTTTGAAATGCGTAGGCAAGTATCATTGCAATGATGATTCTGTTATGTCCCATATATCTTTCATCAGGAAAATTCTCACTGAATAGGAGAATATGAAAAACAGCAACAAAGTGACCGAAGGGATCTTCGAGACTGCTATTTATTGTTCTTCAACTCTCATATTCCAGAGTATCAAATGATTGATGCACATCTATACCACACAAGTCTTTGGAAAAACTCTAGATAATCTATTTCTTGAGATAATTTTGGTCTAAAAATGGGTAAAACACTTTTGCCATGAACAAAATGTCTGAAAGTATCTTTTTTTACCAATTAAAAAAACGACAAACAATTTTTTTTTCAAAATAAGTTGTCAACAAACTTTTGCAGAGTGTAGAATAGCATGCACTGTACACAGAAAGTATTACCCCCTTTCTTGTTGCTGTCACCGTAACTTTATTCTCTCTTCAAATGGCCCACCCATAAATTTACTTCCAGTAATTGCGAAACTTGACCATTATTGTAATGAGACCCATTATATAAAAAGAAATAAGGATGTTGAAAACGTTTTGGCAGGAATTGCGCCTTATGATTTACAACCTGATCAAAATCAAAGAGTGTTCATCAAATTACTTTTTTAATGATGCTGTTTTGCTGGTATATTTGTATGGGAGAATTTAATTCCGTGGGTTCGGTTGCAGCGTTTGTTTTCAAGTAGCCTTAATAGCTGGAATTTGAGAAAAATAATGATGAGATAAAATATTATATAAATGCTGCTATACTACAGAGATTAGGCTACCCACCGTTTCCTTGAGGTCGGAAGCAAGTTAGAAACGTTTGCGTTCTATACACCGCATCCTAACCTCCAGCATTCTAACACCATCTACTAGCCCAACCTTTCGCTAATCTTCACCATGAAGACTTTTCTTATCCTGGCGATGGCAGTTGCCCTAGCGAGTAAGTCGAATCTCTTTTTTTATCCCTTTGTGTGTTCTGTCACATCCTCAGAACGGCAGAATGAGCCTATTCGTTATTTAAAACACACTGTAATGTTTCCACGTCTTTAAAATTGCTTCCTATGGTAACACGTTATGTTGTGGTGTTAATAATCCAAAGCTAAATATGTTGCATGAGTGTTTATTTTTGAAATAAACACGTGTTGACGTGTTAATAAATTTGCACACAATGACACATATGGGTGTTTATGACAAGACATAAAAACACGTTGATCGGGTAGTTAACACCTTCTGAACACCGAAACACGTTTAGTTCCCAAAAGTTGCTTTTAAACAGTTACATGTGTACAATTAATGCAAAGACGCATTTATAATGGGCGTTGGTTTTGTTTCGGTGAAGCTGATGTCTTTCTGGAAGCAAGCGCTCCCTTTAGCCAGCATAGGGCTGCGCTGATAGGATGGACTATGGCGTGCCTTTGCGTAGCTATTCCTGATGAAGACCTGACTTTAATTTGCGCTATTGTCTTTGAGCCCAGTTGTCAGTAGTCAACCAAAAATTGTTCTTTTCGATTGTTGTTCATCTCTTTGTAGAACAAAACAGAATTTTCAACGTTGCTCACTGCATAGGATTTATAGGGGATTTATGAGTGGTTGTTCCTCCGTGGTAAAATCAGTGGTCAAATCTCGCCTTTCCTGGTTTTCAGAAACCCATAACTTGCTTTCCCAGTTATCAGAGTAGTTTTCGCAAGGGCCGGAGCAGCATTGATCACATACTGAACCTGGAGTCTTCCATTGATAAAGCTATTTCTAATAAAGGAGCACTCTTGCCGTTTTTTCTGGACTTGGCGTATTGTGGCGGAAAGGAATTGTAATTAAACTACAGTTCCTGGGTATTCCTGCGAGAATCACCAAATTGATCGACAAATTCCTCACAGACAGAAAAAACAAGCTAATTAAGATCAAAAACCTTCTCTGGGCAGAAAGAATCTTGGATAATGGTGTCCCTCGGGAAGCGTTATCAGTCCTCTCCTGTTTCATGTTGCTGTAAATTATCCTTCTCATAACGTTATCGTTAATGTTAATGGTATCACTTTCTCACAATATACAGATGCAATACTCTGTGGAAATCAAACAGAAATATCTCCTACCTAGAAAAGAAAATCCAACAAAACCTCAACTGCATCAGCAATTTGTGCGATAAATGTGGTATTAAGCTATCGATCGTGAAAACTATTTTGCTGTTCTATTCACCTACGAGATATATCAACATCTCTTTAAAAATTATCAACGTCCTTTAACTACAACCTTCGGCTAAATTCCTTTTAGTCATCTTCGACAACAGACTAACCTGAAAAACACACATTGTCAATATGTTGTGTTGTAGCTAAATGGAAGAAGAGGATTAGATGTACCTGTGACAACAGGTGGGGAGCACACTGCAAACCTTCCATCATCTGTATATTGCTCTTATCAAGCCTATCCTGGCGTACGGCTGTGGAGCGTTTAATTCTGTATCATCTTCTCTTAAACAAAACCTTGACAGTATTGAGTACCAAGCCCCCAAAAGAACTGGTGCTATCCACTGCTCCCCTCTCTACAGACCCCAGACTGAACGTGGGGACTCTCCATTAGCTGTTTAAGATCACAACACTCTCACCTCTTTTGCACTAACTGATTAATTCCTATTTTGGCATTATCACGCACCTTCAATTTCCACAGAAATCCTTTCCTGCATATAATGTAACCAAGATTCTCCTCATGAAAAAAACAACCAAATATTTCTAATATGGAAATCCCCAATGAGAATTGGATTAACTCATTGCACATATTATACACTGATGGATTTTACGACACAACTATTGCTGTTGGGTGCAGTCTCCATATTCCCCAGTTTAAATACTCCAAAGGATATCGGTTGAATGACAGTTCCATATTCACAGAATACTGATTGAGAATGTCAAACCCCTCCATACGTGTATTTTCAGTGATTGTCTCCGCCAAATTCGAGCCATATCTAAACCCTTTCCCCAGCATAACATTGTTTGCAATATACGCCATACTCTCATAAGCATCCGGGACCAACACAATGTCGTCAATTCTGAATGGATCCCCCGTCACTGTGGCATCCCTGGTAATGAGAGATCAGATCAGACCGTCAAATTAGTCACCAAGAAAGACTCTGCTGACCATTGTATCCTCCATCTGGATAGCGAAATCAAACACACTCTAAAACAAAATCTCGAAGAAAAATGGGCAGAATCAATCCTATTCAATCCGAAATTAGATCCTGTCAAGAACATCAAATGTGAGCCTTCCTTCTCCTGTATGAACTGGGGGTGGAACTCCATCAAGGAGTTATAATGGACAGATTAAGTCTTGGAGTATGTAAAGGCCTAAAGAAATTCCTGTATCAAACTGGTAAAACCCAGATGGACTTTGTGAAGTGTTTGCTTGCACTGACGACATCGAACATTTTACACACCTCTGAGGAAAACATGTTTTCATTGATTTCATCTGTTCAAATAAATATGGAAGCATCCAAATCGAATGCAGTGCCAGTTGTCTTCAGAGCTCAACTATAACAAGCTAAAAAGGGCTTTTTCTGTTCATGCCAAGATGTGAATTCTGAATGTAGATTGCGCCATTCGGAGAAAACAGAGAAAACGAGGGGAACCCTGGCCCTGTGTTCTTAGTGGATAAACCCTTGTGCATGCCAAATAATGCATGTAGCCATTGTTTGTAGCCAATGTTTGGCATGCACAACGGTTTATCCACATGTAACAAATTCATCCCACAGAAACAAACCCTCAAGCAATCAAAAGGTCTCTCCAACACACAGATACACCTTCAACTTCTCACACAAAACAACACAGTTACCACATTCTGAAGTACATCAAATAATGGAACATTAGTAGTTAATCCATCCATTTTATCCTGCAGGGGACGAGAGATGCAAGTGGTTGGATTAAGCGTCACAATGTAATCACTTGTAGGTGTTGCTAATCTGCAAATCTTCCATCGGGGTCATGACCCTTAAAATGAACCGGACACAGTTCGGTTTACAGGACTTCCTGTGGCGCTCCCTGTCCCCAATCTTTCTCCCGTACAGCTCCTCATCATTTACACTGCTGGGAACCTGCTTTATATCACTTTCTTTTCATGTGCATGTCTGTATGTCTGCTGCTACGTATCATCACCAGTATTTTGCCGCATGCTTTTCTACGGTGTGGATTTGCGCCCTCCCGTTCTACCTTTTCCACTGTTTATGACAGAAAGAGCGCATGCATGCGCTATACGGGCCAGTAC